TTCAGAAATATTTAACTGCTTCCATTGGATGGTGAGCACACTAAAATGTTTTGTATTTGTGCTTTCCCAAATGAAATCTGCATTTGAAGGGAGAACTAACGTAATTTTAATGGGTAGTCAAGGGTGAAGATGACCCTTCTCAGTCCCGACCCCTTGTGTCCCAAAGTGAGCCAAAAGGCACACCAGTCACCCCAAGGTACCACTTCCCAAACTTAACAGACCACAGCTTTAGAACCTTCTATCCTATGCCCAGAACCATGGTGGGAGAATGAAATGGCGTTGTGTTTGGTTTGGGGAGTTTTAGAGACTGTGTTTTAGGGAACGCTCCCCCTTTTTTATGTCTTCTACCATGTGTCCAGCTCTTTTGTGAGTTGTCCCCATTACAAAGAGCTGAAGCCCCTGCTTTTTCAGCACAGATCAGATTTATGCACCTCCCAGCAGAGCTCAGACAGCCTGTGGGAAGCTGACCCAGTCCAGCTCCAGCCTGGCAACTGGTCTGCTGTGAACAGTCACTTCAAATAGCCACCACTTCCTACATCTGCCTCCTGATCTTTTTCTGTTACTTTATTTGGTTTGTTTTCAAAAGTCATTTTCCCTGGTTGCTTCCCCCATTGAAATATTTCCATGTAATTCTTTGCCATGCACTGGAATCCCAAATGATCCATACCATGGGTGCAGAGCGGGTGATTGCTCTAGCAATTGCCTCAGGATGTACCCGTCTGCTCAGGGCTTGTGTGGGGTCAGGTCAATTCCATTCAGTCCTGAGCCATCCAAGAGGGAAATAATGAACTTGTAGCCAATGGAAATCAGCTAAATGTCTTTATCATTTAATATAAAAAGTATATACATGGTGTATACGTGTATATATAATGTATATAAAGGTCTAGTGAAAAACATAGTTCAACCACTAGGAAATAACTACTAATTCTTTTTTATATTGTTTGATTTTTATAAGCCAGGAAATTATGTTGTGGTAGTTCAGGTTTATTTCACAATTTACAATGAAAACTTATTTTCTATGTGTGCCAAGCATAATTTTTCTAACTTAACGTCTAACTGTGAAGAAAGAAGGATAGTGAGATTCTGCTTTAAGGAGCAACTTGATCCAGTTTCAAGCAGTGTGGTAGACTAAATGTTCACAGAAAACCTTTCCAACAGAGTCCATGTAAAACACTGACTAAAACGGAAGAGAGAAAACAGTCTCATGCTTGTAAATGCCTGGTTGGGGCTGCTGGCAAAGTTGAGACTTGTTCAGGGGCAGAAGTAACAACGGAGGTGAGAAAATGAGGTACTAAGGCCAGGTAACACAAGCACTACGTGACAGGCTTGGAGAGCTAAGGGAGCCAGGGCTTGGGACTAAAGTGGGAGCAAGATCAGTCTGGAGATGTGCGGGAATCTGCCCCACCAGGAAAAACAGCCTCCTTCCCTCTCCATGAATCCGGAACAGGGAGAAACCTTGAGTCACAGAGTTCTCAAGAGTGCATGCTTGCCTTCCTCTCAGCTGATGAAGTGGGAAAGATGGGAGAGAAGTCTTGAGAATCTATAGCCATGACTGTGTGCCTAACAAGTGTAAGGGTGAGAACTCACAGCGGCTGTGTGATGTGTGACAGGCTCTCCTGTCAGAAATGTGAACAACCATAAAAAGCTGTGTGTGTTTCCGTTCATTTGAAGTATTTGGCATTCAGATTCATGGAGAGGGAAAGCAGAAGGGGAGAGAAAGTGTCCTGAACATGACTGAACTGATTGCTTCCAATATTTAAGATGATAAATTTTATGTTACATGTATTTTATCATAATAAATAAAAAAGAAACATCTTTAAATGTAACTTAAAGTTGAATTAAGTTGACAATGGCACCCAACTTCCTTCTAACAAAAACAACAACAAAAGCAAAAAACCCCAGCAAAAAACATAAAAGGGCCAAGAATGGAGGAGCATACCTGCTGTCTAATGCTTGGAAGGTGGAGATGGGAAGGTCTGGAGTTCTGAAGTCAGCCTGAGCTACACAGTAAGACTCTGTCTGAAAAATAAATAAGTAAATAAACACACTTAAAGAAGAAGAAAAATAATTCACCTGTGTGGTGATATTTTATTTGTACTGAAATGTTATTTTAATTTTATGTTAATAAATAAAGTTGCCCTGGGGTCAGAGCTATTAGAGCCATAGTAAGAGCGTGGTGGTTAGAAGAGCTAGGTAGATTTCTGTGTGTTCAGGGATACAGCCAGTATTGGAGACATACGCCTTTAAGACCTGGAGGGCGGTACTTACAGGCAGTGATGAGGCAGTCATGTGGTTGGGTTTACAACCAATGAGAAGGCAGAACAGAAAGATTATTTAAACAGGGACACAGGAAGTACCTCCCTCTCTCGGGGAAGCTAGGAGCATTGCAGGAGGTAAGATTTTATCTCTGAGCTCTGACCTCTCGGCTTTTCTCTTTTACCTTGGCTCTGTGCTTCTTATTTTAATAATACGATTGGTTACATCTACACACCTGTCATAATAATTTTCAAGGAGTGTGAGATATGCTCATAGTGAAACAGTTTACTCTATAACACAGGGAAACACTTCCTATGAAGGACCCTTCTACAGTCAATAGCAAACCACACCAATAAAAAAGACAATAAATTGTGTTCATCAATTATAAGATTATACTTAATTTTTTGTGAGACAGTATCTCACTATGTAGCCCTGGCTTTTTAGACTAGGCTGGTCATGAACACATGGAGATTCACCTGCCTCTGCTAAGATTGAGGGTGCACCAGCCATACCTGGCTTTATGCTTATTATTATTTTTTTTTACAAGAAGAAAGTGAAAATACATTGAAGGAAATAAAAGTTCTTAAATTTGACCATACAGATTTGAAAAGTAATGAAGTGGAACTTAATAAAGAAAACTTTATGTTAATAATATAAGCAAAACACACAAAGAAAGATGGATTCCACAGGGAAGACCATAGTGAATAGAAAAAACTGAAGACATTACAGCTCAAAGACAGAAGCAGAGAAACAACGAGAGAGACGCTCAGGGATAAGAAGGACAGGTGTTAAGGTTGTGCTGGAACTGGGCTGGGACATATGCTATGGACAATAAACAATATTTGGAGAGATAATGGATGAAGCTTTCCAGAAGTAGTGGAAGATATATTTTTATATCAGGAATACCAAGGACTTTTAAGTACACAATAAAAAAGACACAATGAAGTGGGACAGTGGTGGTGCACACTTTAAATCCAAGCACTCGGAGGCAGAGGCAGGTGGATCTCTGAGTTTGAGGACAGCCTGGTCTATAAAGCGAGTTCCAGGACAGCCAGGACTACACAGGGAAACACTGTCTCAAAAAACCAAAATCAAAATGAACAAACAAACCCACAATGAGTCAGGTCATAGAAAAACGCAGCATAATGAAAACATGGCCTTAGAAGATTTCAGCAAACCAACAAAGGAACAAACAAACCAAGGACATAGATAGTATTTGAAAGGATGAACACCTGGCTTCAGCTGGTTATCAATAACAGTGCAGGATGGCTGAAAACGGAAGATCACTGAAGGACTTGCTTAGGAAAATAATCTGCAAGTGGGGTCTCCATGGAAATGATCAATTCTATCATACTATCCATAACCAAAACCAGAATAAGAGTATTGTCAGACAAACAAAATAACATTACAACCCAGACATTACTGAAGAAATGAAAAATGTTCTTGCCTGTAGGTGTTGGAGTGGAGAGTGAGGACGGATGTGATCAAGATTGTATACATGTATAAAAATTCTCAAAGAAGAAATACAATTATTTAAAAAGAGGTAGAATTATATAATGGTTGTTAATCTAATGCTAATTTTAGTACAGTTAATCTAAAGGTTTAGGATTAGCATTGGCAACATTGTTGCATGTGTGTATATTAACAGTGGCCAAGCATCTGTTTATAAAGTCAAGCCTCTCATATGACATGCAGTAGGTTGAATGCACACTCTGAAAACACACGTCTGTGTTTTAACCCCAGGAATCTCTGAAAATGACCTTATTTGAGAAAAGGGGTTTTGAAGATTATAATTAAGGGTCTTTACTTGAGCTCATTCTATTACAAGTGGGTAAATTCAATAGCAAATGTCCTTAGAGATGGAAGAGAAGACAGACATAAACCCAAGGCCCAGGGAAGGCAGAGACAGAAACTAGCTACGCAGACAGAAGCTGAGGAACACCAGTGTCTGCCAGACAATGGAATAAGCAAGGGAGGATTCTCCCAGCAGCCTCTGGACTCCCATAGTCTTTGTCACTCTTGAATCTCAGACTTCCACCTTCAGAACCATGAGCCAATCAAATCCCACTATTTTGGGTCGGTTGATGTGCTGTGATTGTTATAGCAGTCATATATACTAATATGCCAAGATTAGAAATACCATATTTACCACTATTATAATAATTTCAGTTTCCAAAATTCAGGTGTTGCAAACCAAAAACAGGTGGCAGAAACAAAAGCACCGACATTTTTGGTTTTCTTTTCAGGGTGAGACCATTTGCTTTCTCCTTATTTATATATAGATGCATTTATCACCCCAACTGTGGGCAAATACCGAACAAGTCGAATTGGCACGTGCATGATATCAACTCATAAGAGAAAGAAATAAAGCAGACAGTAATAACCTGTGCTGAAGAGTCAGGGAAGGTCAAGAAAGTACTTTCACAAAATGTCTCAGACAGAATGTGACACACAAGAGGGGCATGTAAACGGCAGCACTGATTTTAATTTATGCTCATTACAGGACTCCATAAATACTGCCTTCTGGGAACTGCGGGTATAATTCAGCAGTAGAGTGTGTGATGGTTGCATGTGTCAGGTCCTGTGTTCAATACTCAGAGATGGAAAAAAAATTATCTTCCAGGTAGCAACTGCATCTCCTGATGTGATTGGTATTTCATCGATCTCATCACCAGTGAGTTTTCTAATTGATGACCCCTTAGCTGCACAGTGGTTTGCAGTGAACTGTAAAGTAGCCCACTTACCTGTCGAGGTGGGACATAACTGTTTTAGAGATGTCTGCACCTGCTTCCTGCAATATGCGGATGATCTGAAATGGTGCGTCTGGGCTCCTTCCAGGATGGACGATGACAGGACAGCCAAGCTGAGCCTGGGCATGAGCAGTGGCCTGAAGCACCTTTCTCTCGCTGTCAGTCAAAGGCCAGGAGCAGCCGATTTCTCCAATAACTCCGCACTTGATACTGGTTCCATCAGCTCCATGGAGAATTTCATTAATAAGGATATCTGTAAGCTGAGGAAGAATGAGGATGAGCCTATCTGATAGGTTGTGAAATACATCCAAATAAACTCATAGTATACAAAGGTATTTATTCAGGAATGTACTCCTTCAAAACTGTATCCAGAGCCAGGGGGCAGGGAGGATGGCTAAGTCAGTCAAGAGCTTGCCTCACAATCATGAAGACCTGTGTCCCACCCCCAGAACTCACATAAGAATACTAGGTGTGGTGGTCCAGTCTGGTGACCCCAGCAGCGGGGAGACAGGGATAGATGGATCCCAAAGGCTCACTGGCCAGATGGTCTAGCCTAATATCACCAGTTAGCTCCAGGCCAATGGGAAACCCCATCTCAAAGGAGATGTACAGTTTTCCTAAGGATGCCATCTGAGGTTGGCCTCCAGCTTCCATGAACATGTCCCCTGCCATGCACCTGCACATATATTACCATCCCCACTCCCCCTCTCTTTCTCTCTCTCTCTTACACACACACACACACACACACACACACACACACACACACACCACTAAACTCAACATTCATTTAGTGAATATTGCCTAATGAACCATGGATTTTTAACTAATTTTCAAATTCAACAAGTTATTCTAAGTATCTTATTGAGACTATTTGAGAAGCTCATAGCTTAACGATGCTGTAGGGGCAAGGAGAAAGACAGTGTGTTCAGACTGAATAAAAGCGTCTTCATTTTAATCTGGGTACAGTACCTATGGATCCCATTGAATCTGTCAACTCTATCATGTAATTCTTTAATTCTCACCTTCATTCAGCCTAGAAAGTTCACAACACAGTATCCACATTACCTGGTTCATATGTACACTAACACTGAAGCATGGTTTGACAAGTGTATAATCCTTGTCATTAGCTCAGTCTTCAACTAATATAAATGTATATATTTAAAAGTTCATTGGAGCATAATACAGACGAAAATTTAAAACAGATCATTTTAAATACTAACAGATGTTTCACCAAGAGTTTACCTGACAGTCTGTACCTGGGAAATATACAGGGGTATATACTATATGCAAACACATGTAAACTGACACGTGTTTAACAAGAGAACACACACACACGCACAACAGAGCCCTGCAAGCTCAGCTTCCTTCCTCCCATTCTTACTTAATATTATAAACAAGAGAACAGACCTTCTCCCACCCCTCCCAGCTTGTAATAAGAGAAGAAGCTGTATTTGCAAATGTACCAAGTCTCTGCCTGCCAAGTCTCACCCTACTGTGAATTTTCCTCGTTGGTTATTATAAAAACCCGAGGGGAAAGCTGAAGCTGCGTGGCTGAAGCTCATGATGGAAACACGAGGTTTACAAAACAGACTGGAGCGGAACCGCTGAGCTCTGATCCAATTGTACAGACTCAGCGGTAACGCCTCGGAACTGTCAATGACCAGTGTGTTGAGAGCGACTTCCTCAACACTCGAAAGACACGGAATCTCACTAATTTGGGTCCTAGTCGGCAGCCGTCTTTGTGAGCCAGCTTTTTTTTTTTGAGCCAATAGCATTTCCAAGGTTCAGACTGTCCTCAGTTTATATACAAACAACGTCATAAGAAGAACTTTTTACCTGCTCCACTGACATGGCCCTGGTTGCTGCTGAATGAGTTGCGTCAACATAAAACCCAGCTCCAGCTATGATGTGGACTCCAGTCTGCTCTGCTAGCCACTTCAGTGTTTGCACATCCCTGCTGAGCCCAGTGGTCGTGTTCTCCACCAAGGCTCCTCCACCCTTAGCCTTGAAATACAACAGTTCTTCCTTTATGGCTTCCGTCTCCTGATTCAACCGAAGGTTCTCTCGATGGGAATAAGGATTTTTCTGAATCCAGAATAAATTCTTCAGCATGATAGGTTCCTTGGAGGTGGCTTCATGGCACGGAGGAGGTGGGTAGTAAAAATCGTCAAAGGTCATTGTTAAATGCTCGTGGGTCAAGGTGCGTCCCAGGTGGCTTGGTTCTACAAGGCCCAAAACGGTTTGTACATTCCCACTTAAGGAAGACATCCCTGGTAGTGTCACAAGGGTTTTCTCTAAAGAGGAACCAGGAAAACAGAATTAGAACATTTAACACAAACATGCAGTCTGTCTGTGGAGGGTGGGGTTGTGAATGTGCCAGTCTGGATGGATGATCAATGAAACTAGAGCTATGACCTCATTTATCATCTGCCCCAAGTGGGGTGTGTGGATAAGATGTCCCCAGTCACTCCCACCAGGTCGCCTCTGATGGATCAATTCCAACCTTATTCACTGGAAAAATTTCTTGATATTCCATTCACATTTATATTTCACTTATTTTTCCCCCAGTTATAGCTATGCTTCTTGGATATGTCAACAAAAACCATTCTCCTTCGTAATCAATAACCGCCATTAAAACTAGTCATGTATTAATATTAGCTCATCGCTTTTCACCCAAATGAAATATACAGAGGCTTCTACGCATGGCGCTGCCCATTTGTCACTGAAGGGAATGAACTACTGTTGAAGACCTGCTGTGTGTCAGAAGCATAACATGAAATCCCTAACCTGCATGGCTTCATTGGGGATGGCCCCAAAATAATTGGAAGAGGAAGAAATGCATAACTAGTTTTTTTTTTTAATGTCAAAAGTGAGAAGAAACAAACCATTTCACTTTCAAGAGTTTATCGTCTGGTGTGAACAGAAAGTAACCCTTCAAAATTCTTAGAAGCAAAACATCGCTGTTATCATGAAAGTGACTACAGTGCTATCTGTGATGATTAGAAGTCAGCTTGACCCGACCTAGAATCACTGGGAAAGAGAGTCTCAGCGAGGAATTGTCTACACTGGGTGAGTCTGTCTGTCTGTCTGTCTGTCTGGAATTATCTTAATTACGTTAATTGACATGGGAAGACCCAGCCCATCACCAGTGGCAACATTCATTCCCCAGGCAGGGGATCCTGAGTTACATCAGAGTGGAGAAATTGGGCTGAGCACAAGCAAGCAAGCGAATGTGTACGTGGTCATTTCTCTCCGCTCTTGACTGGGTATGGTGTGGCCAGCTGCCTCAGCTCCCGCCTCTGTGACTTCTCTGCAGTGATGGACTGTCACCTGGAATCAGAGCTAACAGAAACCTTTCTTCCCCTAAGTGACTTTGCATCAGGGTATTTTATCACAGCCACAGACATGAAGCTAGAACACTACTGAAACAGAAATCAGCTGCTGTCTCTAAAAAGAGCGAAGACCAACTTGTCCCCTATGTACTTTCCTTTCAGATGCAGATTAAGTATTCACCCAAGTGTTTCTCAGTGACAGCGACAGCAAGGACTCCAACTTCAGCACTTCCATGTCCAATGTACATCCCTAATGGAAGGGACTGGATGATGGAGAAGAAGATGACACTGAACTTGTGAACAGACACCCCATAGCTGAGGGCAAGACCACCGTGGCACTGCCAGAAGTGAAGCTCCATCCGGAGGACCAGCCAGACATGCTCACAGGACCAGAAGAGACAGGCTGGGAACTGAGAATAGAGTAGCTTTTCAAGTTTTCAAAGTGTTCCTACAACAGACATTCTAAATTATTTTCCCCCACATCTTTGGAAACCTTCTCTGTATATATGGAGGTGGTGCACAAGTTTAAGCCTGTGCATGTGGAGGTCAGAGTTCAACCTCAGGTCAAACTCAGAGGTCATTCCTCCGAAGGCATCCACCACACTTCTAGAGACAAAGTCTCTCCTTGGACTGGAGCTCACAAAGAAGCCTAGACAGTAAGCTCTAGCAATCTACCTATGACTAATTCTGATTATGGGATTACTAGTGCCTCACGCCTACAAGAAAAGCACTTTATCTGCTGAAGCACCTTCTGGCCACATTCTATAATGATCTGAGAGTCTGGTTTCTCATAAGTAAGTTAGAGACCATACATTGCATAGGAATCAGAAGGAATTAAGTAAAATGCAATAGGATACTACACAGAAAACACCAGTAAAAGTGGCACACAGTCTGTAATCAGCAAAGAGTAGAATTATTTTGCACTTTGACTGGATTATTTTTTTCTGCAGAAGAAAGGGTATGGATCTGGATGGGGGGAATCTGGGAGTAGTTGGGGGGAGAACCATAATCAAAATATATTGTATGAAAAATGTATTTTCAATAAAAGAAAAAATTGTAAAAAAAATGTAATAGGTACAGTACAAACTTTGAAAACAAAGTCAGAGGTCAGGGAAAAAGGTTTACAAATTATAGGTTAATTTTTATCCGGCCACTTCAATGACCTTGAACTTGGATGTTTGGGGAAATTAGCTGACAGTCGTAAGTGATCAATTTATACTTTTCACAGAGAACTTCAGGGTTGTGGCCTGTGTGGCTGATGAGTTTTGTTTGACAGTGCTCTTATGCAAGCCATACTTCCAACATTAGGCTGCACCCGTGGAGGCCAGAGGAACACATGGTATCTGTTCCAAGAATCACCAAACAATTGCCAGTCCCCACATAGGCAGTGTTTTTCATTGGTGACCTCTCTGTTCAGATGAGAGTTACATGGAAGGTGATGATTATAGACTGGAACTTACCGTTCAAAGCTTTATCCTTTGCTACTAAAAATAAACAGTATATAGTTATTCCTTTGGTTGATGAGATCACAGCACCATTAATAATAGATTCAGTCCTCCATATGGGTTCATTTTCTGTTTCCTTCCATCTGACAGCATTGCAGATAGATTCAGGAGAGTCACAGAGGAGGGTAGAAATTAGGATAAATTGATAAAACACTACCACGTCTACTAGAAAAGTACCAAACAACATACTTAATTGATGTGTATTTGAAAGAGCAACATGGCACGCTTCAAGCTTACAAGCTGTGAGTCTTTGTAAAAAAAAAATTATTTAAGAAATGTCACCCCCCCGGGAACCTCCTCTCCTGCTCTCAAACAGAGCTGGCTGGCTCTTCTGTGATCACATACAATGGAAGGCGCATGCAGAGGATAAGAAAAGATTAAGGAACAAAATGCAGGCTGCACTGATTTAGGCGGGAATTTAGGAATTTAGGCTCCTTTGAATGGAGCAAGACACAGAGCAGGAATTCAGGGTTCCAGCGTGGCTAAGGAGCCCATTCTGCCTGTGTTCGGGCTGGAAGTCACTCGCAGCACACAAGCTGAGGGCTCTCATGACCCCTCATCTTAAGGATGAGCACTTGTAGAACCAGGAATGGCAAATAAAGGATGAGAGTGCCAGTGCACATCTGTGCCCAGGGGAATGACCACCCACACCAAAGGAGGCTTCCGGTGATCTCCAGAACTGCCCACAGGAAGTTCAGGATTATACACAGTTGCTTTGAAAAGGGATAGCTGGATCGATCAGCACATTTGACCAAAGCTTTGTTCCACATCATCTCTGAAATAACGTGTGGAAGGATAGTGCGCAAGTGTTATAATAGCCCAGGCAGAACCAACAGCCTATGGTAGTTAATATTGAGCTTCAATTTGACAGGATCTGGACTCATAGAAGGGTCAAGCTTCCAGGCATGTGTCTGAAGGATTATCAGATTAGGTTAACTGAGGTGAGAAGCGCAAGCCCAAATGTGGGCAGAGACATGCCATGGGCTGGGATACCACATGGGACAGAGGAAAGCTAGCTGAAGACTAGCATTCATCTTTCCTGTTTCTCTGCTGTGGGTGGAATCTGACCAGACACAGCCTGGGTGCTTCTGCGTTGATGGATGGTATCACTCTAACCCCAGGTAAATCCTTCCTTCCTCAGATTGTCTTTGCCCTATCCTATGTCTGAGCAACAAGACACGTAACTAATGTAGAACCCTTCTAACCTTTCTTCAAATTTGTTTTTGTTTTATGAGACCAGGTCTCTGTATGTAGCTTACACTAGCTTGAACTCATGGTGATCCTCCTGCCTCAGACTCCTAAGTCCCAGAAATATAGGTGTGAGTCACTATGTCTGTCAACCCTTCTAGTCTTGCTGGGTCTTGAATAAAAAGAGAACATTGAACAAAAAAAAATGCAAACAAGAAGAGAGTAAGAGAATGGAACGAAATTGATGTACCACAGCTGAACCCTGAGACAGTAAGTGGGATGTGATTACTTACAAATACATGCACATACTAACTGTTATAAGATGCGTAAAAAATCTGCTTCATGACTGAAGATCTGGTGGGGAGGAAGAATCCTGGATATGACTTCAGTTTCTGTTCAGTTTCACTGGAATTTTGACTGTTATTATGGTCTGGCCATTATGATTAAGCATATTCTGTCTACCTAAGTTGAATATCATTTTCAGCTACAGTAATGGTTAATTTATCAACTTAATTGGACCTCGATGCACCTAGGATGTTGGTAAATCACACACCTGGCTGTGTCTGTGAGGAAGTTTCAGAGACAATTAGATCATAAGGGCTCTGACCCAGTGAACAGATTAAGCCCTGACAGATTCATAAATGTTGGCATGTGGTGGAGCTGGAGGGTGGGGCCAACAAGAAAGAGGCAGGTTACTGGCTACATGTTCTTAGAGGCATAGCTTCTTATCCTGTCCTCTTCCCTAACTCTTGGACACAATACAATGAACAGCCTCCTCTAGCACATTTTCCCTCAGCCATGATGGTCAGCACTGCCTTGGAGCCAAATCAACAATCCCAGAATCCCAGAGACTTTGTGGATAGAACTCTCTGAAGCAATTCATCAAAACTGATGTCTCCCCCCCCCACCCCCCCGTCCGGTGATTCATGTCACATTCTGTCACATTGGTGAGAAAAGTAACGGACACAGTTGTCTTCACATTTCAGAGGAGAGAGGACATCCGGGAGTCTGGATGCTTTGTACAGGCAAGTGGGAACTTCCAGATACACATCCTCTGCACACTGTAGACATCATCCCTTGCCCTGTTTCTACACTGGTGTGCTAGCCCCAGAGCTGACTGAAGCCATTAGTACTTCAACTTAGACAGAATGGTCAAATTGGCAAACTGACTTTTTTATCGAAATGATTTAAAATTCCCTACCCCGACTTCTCCCACAACAGTGAAAGGTCTAGTGCCTTTTATGAAACCCTCTGCTGCCTTTCACTCAT